TAGGGAAGGCCACTTCATAATACTAAAGGGATCAATACAACAAGAAGATATAACCCTGGTAAACATATATGTACCCAATGCAGGAGCACCCAAATTTATAAAAAAACTCCTGGAAAATATCAAAGGAGAGATTGACAGCAATACAATCATAGTAGGGGACTTTAATACACCACTGACATCACTGGATAAATCCTATCGACAAAAAATCAGCAAACATACAGCAATCCTAAATTACTAACTAGATCAGAAGGACTTAATATCTTCAGAACACTTCACCCCAAACCCAGGGAATATACGTTCTTCTCAAGTGCTCATGGGACATATTCAAAAATAGACCACATATTGGGTCACAAGCAAAGTCTCCCCAAATTCCAGAAAAATGAAATCATACCAAGCATCTTTTCAAACCCAGAATGCAAAATATTAGAAATAAACTACAATAAAAACAACCCCCCCCCCAAAAAAAGATGAACACTTCTCTGGATAGAAACTCAGTATGTTAGTGGGGCTAAAGCCATAAGTTTGCTTATTTCCTGAGCTAGAAACAACAAAAGTGGATAAGAATTTGGCTCTTGTGGGAAAAGAGAACAAAATGCTCTTCTCAATACAGGGTGATGTAGTGTTGGGAAATGTTGCCTGGCTCACTTATTAAAACCAAGGCCCAGGGTAGGGCTCCCACCACTCTTTGCATAAGGTCAGAACAGCTGCTATCTACTCCTGCTTGGCACCATGGCTCATTGGACACTTTAAACTCAGGTAGACTGGAGAACACAGACAAAGCCTCCCAACCAGAACTAAGCCAAGCTGCTTGCTGGCTTGGGACCGCGTCTGCAACATTCCTAATACTCATGGGGCAGAACACCCACCCCACCATTATTTGACCTGGTTCTAAATTTCTGAATGTGAGGCCTGGGGCTTTGGGGTGGTGGCAACTGAAAAATTACTAGAGAGGGAGGGATAAGCAGACACACATGCCATATGAAGAGAGAGGAAAAACCTTCAACTTGAGATGGCCCAGAATCCAAAATACATAGAAAAAGCTAACTCTAAGAAAGACAAAACACAAAACTAATACTCAATAGATGGATTCAATATAGATAAAATAAAAATAATAGAGCAAATTAAACAGTACTTAAAAATAGGTATGTTTAGAATCTTTTAAAAAATATTTTTATTAACTTTTAGAGAGAGAGAGAGAAACATTGAGCCTCTCCAGCAACCTTGCATATAGGGGGGATGCTCTAACCAACTGATTACTGGCCAGGGCCTAGTGCAGTGATGGTGAACCTATGAAACGCGTGTCAGAGGTGACACGCAAACTCATTTTTTGATTGATTTTTCTTTGTGAAATAGTATTTAAATATATAAATTAAATATCAAAAATATAAATCTTAGTTTTACTATGGTTGCAAATATCAAAAAATTTCTATATGTGACACAGCACCAGAGTTAAGGTTTTTCAAAATGCTGACACGCTGAGCTCAAAAGGTTCGTCATCACTGTCCTAGAGTCAGCTTTTAAGCAGGTGTTTCACTGAAGTGGGGAAAACAAACTAAGCCTTGATTCCTGATTGAATCGAATTCCTCTGCTAAATGGGTAGCCTCTTAGGAAGCAGGTTGGAGAGAGCTGAAATGCTTGAACCTAGGCATTTAAGTCTGAACCAGTTTTAGGAAAGATTTTTCACTGATAGCATGTGAGTGTCAACACCTTGACCCAGGCTGCTCAGAAAGGACTGTGGTGTGAGGCAATGTAATAGCATGGCTTGCTCAGTGTTTGTGGGTGGACGGAATGAGACCGTCACCGAAAGCTTTTTCCAACATAAGCTGACTGTGAATTATTAAGACAAATGAGGCTGGTTACCTGAAGGAACACTTGCTGGCTGGGGTCTTCTGGATGCAAAGGAGAGGCGAAGGCTGAAAGACACCCTTCAGTTTTAGGAAGGTGTTTCGGTATAGAAGATACTCCTTATTCTCATCTTTTTCCTTTGCACTTGGTTTCAGAAGAAATTCTGCTGGGGAGACTTCTTGTTTCCTGACCACTTTTGGTCGAAACCTGGGCACTTTGCACATGTGCAGACATTCTATTCCTGAAATGTAAACAGAATAAACGTCACTGAAAACCCTTAGTGGACCAAGGTCTCTGTGGGCTGGGGTAACGTGGCTGCAATAATCCGGACACCCCTTCACCCATTTACAGCAGCGCCTTTCTGTGGGTTCCTTTTAGCGCACTTTGTGGTCTGCTCAGAGGATACATAGCATCTATGCAATAAACAAGGAAATGTCTAGGCCACAAGAGTTTGGTTATCTGTGCTTATCTTGTGCCAGGTAATGTGCCAAGCACCTTAAACACATTATCCCATTGAATTAGGGACACTAAATGGGGCGAATAGTCTTATTTTTATGATATCAGAGGTAAGTCCAAGTTCACCCAGCTAGAGAGAAGCAGAACGAGGATTTGAACATATCTATTTGATTCGGAAGATGGTGCTTTTACACCATGCTATAGACTAGGGCTTCCCAACCTCTTTTCATAAAGCAGAAAAGTGTAAACTGTAAAACCCAATACATATAGATTCTTATCATTAAAATGTGATATAAAAAAAGAAATCATGATAATTTGTATTGCATATTGTGGTGAATTTAGTAGGCTGCTTGTAAGTAGAATCAACTATCCCAGGGGCTAGATCACCTCAGCCCAGCTGCTCGCTCCCCTTAGGATGGAGAATTTCCGCTTTCAGTTCCTAAGTAAAACATTTGTGGTGTATCCTTTGGGAAGCTCTGCTATTTACTACACTAAGTAGCAAACTACCTCCTAAAATGGAGAGGCTTGCCTTTTGGATTTAGTATACAATTAATGCTAATTATTTGCAGATTCCGTTTTTGTGAATTTGTCTACTCACTAAAATTTATTTGTAACCCCAGATTAATACTTGTGGCCCTTTCATGGTCACTTTGCAAATGTGTAAAGTGGTGAAAATTTTAACTTGTGTTATGCAAGTTCCCAGTTGAGGTTGAACAAGGTAAAACTCTGCCTTCTTGTTTCCACTGTTGTACTACAAACTTGTGTCCTTTACTCGTGTCATGGTCTGTTCAGGGCCATGTTTTATACATTTTTTTTGTGCTTTTTGTTGGTGATTTTGCCATTTAAAATAGTCCACAAGCTTAGTGTTCCAAAGCGCAAGAAAGTTTGATGTGCCTTATGGAGAAAATATGTATTAAATAAGCTTGGTTCAGGCATGAGTTATAGTGCTGTTGGCCATATGCTCAGTGTTACTGTATCAATAATATATGTTAAATAAGGTGTCTTTAGACAGAAACACACATAAAATAAGGTTATGTATTGATTGGTTAATGAAAATATTGTGACCAGAGACTCAAAGGGACCTCACCTTATGTTTTCCCTTGAAGCAATGGTTTTTTTTTTTAATATATTTTATTGATTTCTTACAGAGAGGAAGGGAGAGGGATAGAGAGTTAGAAACATCGATGAGAGAGAAAGATCAATCAGCTGCCTCCTGCACACCCCCCGGGGATGTGCCCACAACCCAAGTACATGCCCTTGACCGGAATCGAACCTGGGACCTTTCAGTCTGCAGGCCGACACTCTATCCACTGAGCCAAACCGGTTTCGGCAACAATGGTTTGATATTCACTTAATTCAGTGTTTGCAGAGATGCTGTAGAATCTAACTACCATGAATAATGCAAATTAACTGAGTTATATCTCCAATCAGGAACTGAACCCTAATAGACTCTAATCAAACAGCAGCTTTGCATTAACATCACATTACAACAGCACATTGCAGCGAGCGTACCCGCGCCTCTTTTCCAGGCAGCAGATGAACAAAAGACATCAGCAAGGCCGAAACCGGTTTGGCTCAGTGGATAGAGCGTCGGCCTGCGGACTGACAGGTCCCAGGTTCGATTCCGGTCAACGGCATGTACCTGGGTTGCGAGCACATCCCCAGTGGGAGATGTGCAGGAGGCAGCTGATCGATGTCTCTCTCTCATCGATGTTTCTAACTCTCTATCTCTCTCCCTTCCTCTCTGTAAAAAATCAATAAAATATATTTAAAAAAAAAAAGACATCAGCAAGGACTGAGGTTTTGGTGGTGAGACTGAGCGGTTGTACTTAAGGGGCAAGAGTATTTTAAGATCCAAAAAATGAGTGTGAAAGCACCTCCTCTTAATACAAAACACAGCAGTGGCCAGATAGATTAACTCTCCAAAGAGAGGAAGGATATAACATTAAGATTCCTGAAATGTAAACAGAATAAAAATTATTCTTTAATTTCTTGCTAGGGCCAATCACCTGGATCCATGGGAAGAATCTGCATGTATTGCACTTTACAGTTTACAAACTCACCACCTCGGGAAACTTGGAAGGAAAAGGCATTTAAATGTTCGTCCTCTGAAAATCTGAATAATGGAAACGAGTTATGTGCAGCAAGACAGTGGGTCCCATAACTGACCCAATGAAAATTTGTAGTAATCCAGCCAGTTAAATAGGATGTGCTTGGCTTTTCTCTGTAGTCTTCTTAATTTAATAACTGTCGCAATGTCAGACATAGGGCTTATGTCCATTGCTGTATCAAATGTAGCAGTATTTTCTGCACCTGAGAAACTTGAACGCTTTAAAACATATATATATGAGAGAGAGAGAGAGAGATTACTATATGATTAGGAAACATAAATGCATTCATTTATTCACTTATTCATTCATTCATTCAGTAGGTTGTCCAACAAATGCTTATTGGGTGTCATTTATGGGCCAGACAATGTACAGAAACCAGGACTAAAGAAATACTACATAAAAGTCATGTTCCCTGTCTGGCTAGCATGGTTCAGTGGTTGAGCATTAACCTATGAACCAGGAGGTCACGGTTCTATTCTTGGTCAGGGCACATACCTAGATTGTGGGCTCATTTTCCAGTGCGGACATGCAGAAGGCAACCAATCAATGATTCTCTCTCATCATTGATGTTTCTATTTATCTCTCTCTCTCCCTTCCTCTGAAATCGATAAATTTTTTTTTAAAAAGTCATGTTCCTTTGTGAATGTACTTAATGTCACTGAATTATGCATTTAAAAATGCTTAAAATTGAAACTTTTATGTTATGAATATTTTACCACCACAAAAAACAGAAGAAGAAAAGCTATGTTCCCTATGCTCAAGGTGCTCAGTCAATGGAAGAACTAGATATGTAAATATTATAACACCAGGGCTATGTTATTTATAAGCACAGTGTTATGAGCATAAATAGATTACTTAATGTTTGTAATACTGAGCTTTTATTTAGCAGAAGAAAGTTTCAAAGTAGTACATCATGAGGACATTAGACTTTAAAATGGATAGTTATAGTGAGTAGTATGTGTGATCTTTACACAATAAATTGGGTATATAAAGTAGTTAGCTTTGAATGAGCTTATTTGACTATGAAAATTGATGATAATTCAGTTTTATATATTCATTAAGACTCATAGATAGAGAACAGACTAACAGCTGTCAGAAGGGAGGGAAGTTTTGGGATTGGGTGAAAATGGTGAAGGATTAAGAAAAAAAAATTCATAGACACAGACAACCGTACGGTGATTACCAAAGGAGGGGGGAGGGTGGAGGTAGAAGAGGGTACAGAGGGATATATGTGATAGAAGGAGACTTGACTTGGGGTGGTGAACACACAATACAATATACAGATGATGTATTACAGAACTATATACCTAAAACCTATATAATTTTATTAACCAATATCACCCCAATAAATTCAATAAAAAAGATGACTGGCAATGTTGAACATTTTTCTGTATGCTGATTGATCATTCACGTCTTATTTTGTGAAATATCTGCTCAAATCTATAGCACATTTTTGAAGGTTGTCTTCTTATTGAGTTGTAAGAGTTTATATACTTTGGATACAAGTCCTTTGTCAGATACAATATTATGAATATTTTCTGCCTTTCTGTCGCTTGCCTTTCCATTTTCTCCATTTTCTTACTGGTATCTTCCAAAGTTTTTACTTTTGACAAGGTCAAATCTATCAAGTTCCCTGAAGTTTGTGTTTTTTGGGTTTTTTTTTTTGTAAATGAATGTAAATGCTGCTTTGGTCAATTATTGATGAACTTCATAGTTCTACAGACATGCCCTCCTAATTAACTTGTAGCTCCCATCTATCTTAGATTCTCACTACCTTAGTCCAGTCCATAATATCTTGGCTAGATTAGTGAACAATCTTATGACTGACCTCCCCACACTATATACCCAAATATTGCCCCAGGCATATAGAACAGTTCTCCACCTGAGTGAGTACATTCTTCCTTGGAGGCATTCAGAAATGTACATGGGCCTTTTGATTGATGGCACAACAGGAACTTAGTTTGTGGGGACCAGGGACACATTCTGAAATGTGCTAGATTGTCCTGCATAAATATGAATTATCTGGCCCCAAATGCCAACAGTGGCCACTTTAGAATTAAGGTTCTAATTAAAAAAATCTTAAATGCAACTGTTCATAGCAGCTTTATCCATAATAGCCAAAGACTGAAAAGAACCCAAATGCCTATCAAAGGGTGAATGGATAAACAAAGTGTGGTATATCCATATAAGGGAATACCAGTCAGCCATACAAAGGAAAAAACTACAGATACATCTGAAACATAAATGAACCTCAAACACAATATGTTGAACAAAAGTAGCTAGACAGAAAAGAGTACATATTGGTTCTTCCTATGTGAATGATTTTACAGTAGACATACAAAGCTAATTAACAGTGTCTGGAGTCAGAAACAGGGAGGACTGAGTAGAAAGGGATACATGGGAACCTTTTGGTGTGATAGAAATTATATTATGATTGCAGTGGCACTTATACAGGTGTATATATTTGTCAACAATCATCAAATGCATTAAATGGATGCATTTTAATGTAAATAAATAATACTTTAATAAAGTAGATTTTTTAAAAGTTAAATATACCTGTGGTGAAAGAGGTGAAGGGATTAAGAACTACAGATTGATAGTAACAAAATAGGGATGGGAATGTAAAGTACAGCATACGGAAAATAGTCAATAATATTGTGATAACTATGTATGGTGCCAGGTGGGTACTGGAAATATCAGGGGATCACTTTGTGAAGTATATGACTAGTTAACCACTATGCTGTATACCTAATATTAATACAAAATAATACTGAATGCAAACTGTAATTGAAAAATAAAATGTAGCCTTAACGGTTTGGCTCAGTGGATAGAGCATCGACCTGTGGACTGAAGGGTCTCAGGTTTGATTCCGGTCAAGGGCATGTACCTTGGTTGCGGGCACATCCCCAGTAGCGGGTGTGCAGGAGGCAGCTGATCGATGTTTCTCTCTCATCAATGTTTCTAACTCTCTATCCCTCTCCCTTCCTCTCTGAAAAAAATCAATAAAATATATTTTAAGGAAAATGTAAATTTTTTAAAATTAAGTAAATAAATAACTAAAATTAATTTGTGATGGATTATGGCATTATTAAAGTAAATACTTTATGAGGAAAATGGACACTTAAAAAATAAATCTCTGCAATGAAACATTCTCCCTGTTGCTTGTGGAAACTGCAGAAGATCTCTATAAGAATATATTATGTGTCCATACCTCCTTTAAGGTAACAATAATAAAACAATTTATATAAAGACATTTTATCCCTCAAAGGCAAAAAAAAATAGAGATAATCTTGCAGTAATAAAATTGCTCACTTTTTTGTGACTGGACAAAACAACTTTGTCTTTATGGACTAGACAAATGATTCAGACTCTAGGAACTGGAATTCATAAGGGCACTTATGGGTGCCTGTATCGCTATCTACTCACTAGGCATTACTGGGCAATTGATAAAAATCTGGATTTCTCTATGATACTGTACATTTGTATGCTGCTTTTTCAAAAACATTTCACAATATTAAATCGTTTAATTTTTGTAAAAAGAAAAAGTTAAATACACACTTCACACAGATTAGGATGGCTACTATTTAAAAAATACACAAAATAACAAATGTTGGTGAGGATATAAAGAAAGTGGAACCCTTGTATACTGATTGTGGGACTATAACATGGTGCAGCTGATATGAAAAATAGTATGGTAGGTCTTCAAATACTTAGAAATAGAATTTCTATATAATCCAGCAATTCTACTCTGGGAATATATCCAAAAGAATTGAAAGTAGGGTCTCAAAGAGATATTTGTATACCCAAGTTCATAGCAGCATTATTCACAATAGCTAAAATATGGAAGCAATCCAAGTATCCATCAACAGATGAATAGATAAATAAAATATGGTACTAAAATATAATGAAACTAGAAGCCCAATGCACAAACTTAGTGCAAGGGGCTCGGCCCTCACAGCCCTGGCTTCATCTGGAAGGTCATCCAGACAGTCATTCAGCTGTTCAGTCTAATTAGCATATTAGCTCTTTATTATATAGCATATTATTCACCCTTAAAAAGAAAGGTAATTCTGACACAAGAGACAACATGAATGGACTTTGAGGACATTATGCTAAATGAAATTAGCCAGTTACAAAAGGAGGAACACTGTATGATTCCGCTTAGATAAGGTACCTAGAATAGTCAAATCCATAGAGATAGGAACTAGAATGGCAGTTGCCAAAGGGTGGGGTGGCAGGGGAATGGGAAACTGTTGTTTAATGGGTACAGGGTTTTCATTTTGCAAAATGAAAGAGTCTGGAGATAGATGGTGGCGATGATTATACAACAATGTGAACGTACATATGCCACTGAACTGTACAATTAAAAATGGTTAAGATGTTTTTAAAAAAGGCTTCTTTGGAGATGGGATTGACATCAGGGAATGGCTGAGAGAGATTGTAAACTCAGATGACATGGCTCATAAAAACCCAGAGAGGCAAATAGCATGATATTAAAGGCATGTTTATAGAAAAACTATATAATTCCAGTATTTGTGAAGAAACCATGGTAATTCTAAAGCAAGCATGTCAAACTTACAGTCTGAGAGCTGCATGCTTCGTTTATTTGGCCCATGTTAGCCTTTGAGTTTGACATGCTTATTTGAAAGAGTAACAAAATTCTGATGCCAGTCCCTAAAAATAAAGATCTCCTACATGTATTCATACACATTCTGTAATATGTGTGCCATTCACATAAACGCACTTAAAATTTTAAAAGTTTGATCAAAGCTCTAGCAGGTTTGGCTCAGTGGATACTAGTAGAGCATTGACCTGTGGACCAAAGGATGCTGGGTTTGATTCCGATCAAGGGCATGTACCTTGGTAGCAGGCTCCTCCTCAGTCCGAGCCCTGACAGGGCTCATTCAGGAGGCAACTAATCGATGTGTTTCTCTCACATCGATATTTCTGTCTTTTCCTCTCTCTTCCACTCTCCGTAAAAACCAATTGAAAAATATACTCAGGTGAGGATTAACAACAACAATAAAAAATAAATAAATAAAACATTTTTTGAAAAGTTTGATCAAAGCTCACTACTTAAATATATGAAATTAGAGATACTAATGTTTTAGTGTCTTACCTCTTGGTAAACAAAAGTTTTAGCCTAAAATTTCTCAACAGAGATTAAGTGCAACTGTAAAGTGATTATTAAGAGAAGTTATTCTGAGCCATAGTTTTAGCAATGCTCTAACATCGCCAAGTGTTTTTGGAATATTAGTTATGCTTAAAAAAACACACCTTAAATTGATATAGTTTCTTTTAGTTAAAAAACAACAATATCTGAGCCCTACACTGTTTTTAAGAAATCATAGATTACTAGTATATAAATGCAAATAATTCAACTACTTAAGACACAGGAAGTTAATTCTTCAAAGCTTAGGAATCATGGCCTTAGAAAAAACTAGGTCTTCATTTTTTTCCCAACTCTACCTTTATCTTCTAACCTCTCCTCTTCCCAAACTTTCAGTTATTTCAAGTAAGGCCCATAAACAGCTATAATAGCATCCATATTGTAGAAATCACTGGGAAATACTGAAAATTAAGAATCTAAAATCAGTGAACATTGTTCCTGCTCTGGTCTGTGCTAAGGTGCCATCATGTAGATGATAGAAGAAATCTCCGGACCTACTGTCTCAGGGGTGTGTGGAGGAAACGTGGAGGACCTGCGTTTTACAGGTGCCAGAGACAGCTTTAGGCTTTGAGGATACCATTTGTAGACCAAGGAGATGGCAAAGCGCCCAGAAATCTTCACTGTGATGAATGCATTCACCTGGGGACAACAGGAAGAATTGTCATTTCCTGCACAGAATTCTCATGCTCATAATTCAGGTGGAAATCATAGACATTTACATGATGCCTGGAAGGAAATCTGAGATCAACATTCACAGATAGCTTTAGTCTAATTTCATTTAGTCAGGAATGGGTTTTAGGTTTTATGCTAGAAATTTGTTTGCCATGACATCTACAGATTTGTACAGCATATTTAAAGGCTTGCATAGATAAAGCATCCTCATTAGGTCAGCTGCTCTAAGCAGGCAAAGACTTTTGTTTGGTTGCAAGTTACATTCCCTTGCTTCCTGAAGGCTGCCAGCTGAGGTAATATGAACTAAATGACTTACCCCATGAGCTACCATGATTTTTCTAGACAAAGGGTGGGGAAACCCTGAGGGTCAGCAAACTTGCACATGCAGGCTTGCCTCTTACAGTTTCTTTACTTGCTCTTACTTCCCTAGCCCTCTAGAACTAAGCAGAACTTTTTAAAAATAGCCATCTGAATAGTATATGTAGGATACAAGACCACCATGAACGATTCTGTACATTATATAGAATAGAGGCCTTAAGCTACTTCCCTACATAAGAGCCTGTCTGGTAAAAATATAATGTGAGCCACATAAATAACTTAAAATTTTTTAGTAGCCACATTAAAAAGAGCAAAAAGCAAGTGAAATTAATTTTAATATTTTATAACTAAAAATATCTAGATATTAATATATCCACATGTAACATTATAAAAATTATTACTATATTTTACATTCTCGTTTTTTGTACCATGTCTTTAAAATCTAGTGTGTATTTTACACTTACAGTGTATTTCAAAGGTTCCATGGCCACAGGTGGCTAGTGGCTTCCATACTGAATAGCATAGCTCTATATACATGGTGCCCTTAGGGGTTGGTGGTTCAGTGTACTATGTAAAGCGACCCTGCCCAGCCCGTGTGGCTCAATGGTTGAACATCTATCTATGCACAAAGGGGTCGCAGGTTCAATTCCCGGTTAGGCCACATGCCTGAGTTGCGGGCTCAAGCCCCAGTGATGGGCTTGCAGGAGGCAACCAATCGATGTTCTCTCTCATTGATGTTTCCCAATCTCTCTCTTTTTCCCTTTCTCTCTCAAACATATCAATAAAAACATTAAGAAATAAAAATAAAGTGCCCAGCCAGCTTGGCTCAGTGGTTGAGCGTTGACCTATGAACCAGGAGGTCACTGGTTCCATTCCCATTCAGGGCACATGCCCAAATGTGGGCTCAATCCTCAGTGTGAGGCGTGTAGGAGGCAGCCAATCAATAGTAGGGGGCATGCAGGAGGCAGCCAATCAATGATTCCCTCTCATCATTGATGTTTCTTTCTTTCCCTCTCCCTTTCTCTCTGAAATCAATGAAAATATAATTATAAAGAAACAAAGTGATCCTGTATACAAAATGCAACACACACACACACACACAGTAACTTTATATTGAATTGAGAATGTCTAGCACAGAGGTTACAGACTGGCAGCTCAGAAGTTTTTGGTTTAGTCCTCTCAGAGTTTGAATTAATTGACAACTTTTAAATATCAAGCTATTTCACCAAAAAATCTGAATTTATGGCTTTTTTTAAAATCATAAAAGTTAGCAAGCCCAAGCCCATATTCCCATGTGGTAACAGCCTCTAGCCCTGAGTAGAGGATGCCTCTTCAGGGAATACAGACATCCCAGTCCACTGCAGTTCCACCTGGCAGGTTCACTCCTAATTATCTGAATGTTTGATCCTTGATCCTACAGAGACATATACTAAGCTGTCAACAGAGGTAATTTCTGCACAGTGAGACTGAGAGGAAGGCTTTCACTTTGAACATTGTATACTTTCTTATTTTTTTAAAATATATTTTATTGATTTTTTACAGAGAGGAAGGGAGAGGGATAGAGAGTTAGAAACATCAATGAGAGAGAAACATCAATCAGCTGCCTCCTGCATACTCCCTACTGGAGATGTGCCCGCAACCAAGGTACATGCCCTTGACCGGAATCGAACCTGGGACCTTTCAGTCCGCAGTCCGACGCTCTATCCACTGAGCCAAACCGGTTACGGCATATACTTCCTTTTTTTAAAAATGTTTTCTAGTAGGCACAAGTTTTTATAATAATAATTTTAAACTACTGTTTAAGTAATTGCTGCTTAGCAAAGATAAATACATCATGAAAGGACCAAGTAAAGTGCCAAGTGAAGTAAAGAACTGAAATAAAGATTTACCAGCTTAGTTGGCTAGTGAAGACATCCAAACTGAATAACTCAGTTCTCTCAACCCTCCTTCTTCAATAGTATATTTCAGACCCTCAAAGAAAATTATGGTTAGAGAATAATAAATGACCAGAAAAATGATAAATTGTAAAATGTTACCGAAATTTCAACAGGATCATCAAGTTTTCCCTTTGAAGGCCATGCCCATTCTCTTACAATGTATCCATTTTTGTTGATCACCAGGCCTCCATCCTCATTAAACATCATTGATATTATTTGGCTGCCAAAGAAAGAAAGAAAGAAAGAAACATGACTCATTTACAAGAAACCTTCATGTACTCATTGATTTGGCCAAGGTGGTGGAAGTCACCAGGTCACAGCCTTCAGAAAAAAAAAAAGAGGATAGGACTTCTTCCTATCACTTTCTTGGAGGATGGTCACCTTGCCTCTACCTGAATATCTCCCTTAAAGAGAACATTGGTATATACCTCTCATATGATCAAGATCTCCCTTCTCTGAAACACATCCCCTTCCATTTCAGGAATGGACCCTGCTATCCATGATTATATACCATGTGGCCCTGCTGCCTTACTGTTGCTATTGAATCAGGGATGGACATCTGTCCCAGAATTGTGTTCCAAACGGATGCAATAATATATATATATAAAAGCCCATGAGGAAGGCGATGGGCACAGTGTATTCAAAGGACTGAAAGAAAACCAATGTGGCTAGAGTCCAGAGTGGTGTAAATGACACTGGGGTGATTGGCAGGTAGGAGGCAGATGCACATGGCTCCCTTCTCCATATCATGAACTTTGTGGTAAGAGCAAAAAATTATAGAAGGGTTTAATAATGAAGCAAAGTGGTGGCATGATCAAACAGATTGGTACATAATTAAAGTAAATGCCAGAGACTCATTAAGAGCTCACAGAGGTGGTCCAGGAGAAAGGACGACAGCTTGGACTAGGGCAGGAGTGAGAGAATGGAGGCACATTCATGGATTCAAGAATCAACTAGACTGGATAGATGGGATTTGGGTGATGAAGAACAAGGATGTAGCAATTTTATCTTCCCCATACTTTAATACAGGTATATTAATGCAGCCTAGCATTTCATTAGCTTTTCTGGATGAGTAATATCACATTATGTGTTTATGTCTAAACCATCTTTGTGTCTTCTCTCTACTCAGCACAGGACCTGGCAAGGGGAGGGGCTTAATAAAAATCTAAATTGCACTGATAGAATGGATTCAATTAAACAAGTACATATTGGTGTCTTTTAGATGCAAGACTGTTCAGGCACTCTCAGGCATCTTGGGATGCCCAGAGCAAGGTGCTCTCTCTGCACTCAGGACATTTTGAGTCCTGTGCTAATAATTATTTTGACAGATAACATTTATTGGGAGTCTACTATGTACCAAGTCTTAAATACATGTTTTAACAGGCCATTGTTGCTTAATGGTTACAAACCATTGTAGAGCCAGATAGTTAATGGTATTGAAACTGGCTCTTCCATTTCCGAATTGTATGAATGTGGACTATTTCTTACATTTTCTGTAGTTCGGTTTCTTTATCTTAAAAATGGCAAAAACAATAGCATCTACCGGACAGAGCTGTTCTGAGGACTAAATGAGCTAATACATATAACAGAGCCAGGCACCCTGTAAGTCCTTTAACAGTGTTGGCTTTTATTGACAATTCCATTTATAGGTATTATGAGCCCCACTTCCCAGCTGAGAAAATGGACGGAGGGAAGTTAGTAAATAGAGTACCTGCCACCTAATAGAAAGTTCAACAGAGGGGCTCACCATTTAATGGAACAATAACAGTTCACAGTATAAAAGGGGTGCTTTTGCATTAATTGAGGAGCCCATAGTTCAACAGATATGCTAAAGGAGTGAAGCAACCAAACTAGAGAAATAAGAATAGAAGCCCTGAGCCTTGGATACCTAGAACGCATTCCTTTCTTGAAGAGTGTACCCTTTTACTCATCCTGGCCAGGCCAGCCTCCAGCTGTTCTCATTCCTGTGAGGCATCTCAGGGAAGACCTTAGCCATCCACCTCTGCTTTGCAGCAAAAGTTCTAGCTGTAGCAACAGTCTACCTGCCTGTGTGGCCTTTCCTATACACTGAATCCTTGCAACAAGGGTCCTAGTCCACACCTCCATTTCATTCATCTTCCTGAAGGTTCAAGTTGCTGAGCCTTTTTACCAAAGACTCCCCTTTGGTGGGATGACAGATGCACAAGAGGAAGATCGGTTTAAAAGATCATTAACAGTGGAGTAATGAAATCCCTTTCAGGGCAGCTTTTTTGTTGTTGTTTTGTCCTCTCTCTTTCCGAGCTTTCAGTTATGCTGTGAGCAGACAGTATCCTCTGCCAAGGAATGGCCTGTGGTGCCCAGGATGAAATTACACAGGGCAGGACTTAGCTGTGAGGCTTAGCATTTTGGGCCTCTCTGAAGTTCCCAAAATATCATCAGCAGATGGTGTTGTATTCATCTGCTTAGTTACTGTTATCAAAGAAGACAAAGAGAGAATGATGAAGGCAACCACAAGTGGGGGTCGGGGGAGTTTTGTCATCTCCTCTTTGTTTCATGGATATAATTCTCACCTTGGATATTTAATTTTATGCAACAAATAACCAAGGAAACAATTCCCCAGTATAAACTAGACTCATTGGCAATATTAAAGTTTGATCAGGGCACTAAACATTCTAGTTTCTACCCAGCATCCACTCTCTATCCCTTCCTTCCTTTCTAACAAATTCCTATTCATTAAGCTCTTCACCCCTCACTGAGTCCATCCCCATTTACAAGGGTAGATGTTGAGTAGTCTAAGATCAAAGGTGCATGGCATTCCCTTGGTTCAGGGGTGGGCCTATGATTAAGTTGGCCTAAAGAAATTGAAAGATGGGACATATAGTTTATTTTTGAAAAACAGCCCCCTTTCCACCCCACTACTAGATATGAAAAAGAAGATGTAGTGAGTGTCTTTGGTTGCCATCATGGGAACATTTGAAGAATGAATGTTACAAATAGCTAAGGGGAGGGATTTAAAGAACCTGGGTCTTCGATGACATCATTGAGCCATAAATTATGCTACATCTAGAGTTCATCCTATCTCCAATTTTAAATGGGATTTTTCTGTTACTTGCTATAGCAAAGCATTCTAACTCTACTTTCAGCAAAAAAAAATATTCTAACTGCTGCAACCACTTTGATTAAATATTTATGGCTGGCTCTCTTAAAATCCTGTCTGTCCCAGCCTCTCCATCTACCCATTTTCAATAGCCTGACACAAATATTCCTAAAAGTCTTGTCCACTCATTATTCAATTATTCAAGTATTTAATAAGCACTCACTCTATACTAGGCACGTTATTATGTTGAGTGTAGGGCAGTAAACAAGACAGATGTGGTCTCTCCTATAAAGGAGCTCACATTCTAGTTGCACAGACCCAGTAAAGGGAAATTTAATTTTGAATTAAGATTAGTACTGAGGATACTGGAGAGAACCAAGATGGTGGCATAGGTTAACGCCGGAGTTTGCTGCCTTGAACAACCACTTCAAAAGTGAAACTAAAAGACAGAACGGACATCACCCAGAACCACAGGAACACTGGCTGAGTGGAATTCCTACAACTAGGAGGAAAGAGTAACGCATACGGACACTCAGAGGAGGAGCAGTGCTGAAGTCAAATTCTGAGGTGCGGAGTGCGCGGAGCGGGCTGGCAGCGGAGGGCGCGGTTGGCG